ATACCTGTCTCTGTTTCTGAAGGAAATCAGAATCCTGGGATGACTCTTGATAAAAGAAAAAGAAAGCCACCAGGTTCTTTGACCATAATGCATTTTTTATAGGGCGTGGAAACAAAACACTTTTCTACTCACCCACTTATTATTGACAGTGGTCTTCCCACCATATTTTACCATAAAAAAATACAGAAAAAGAGAGAACCCATGATATGGCTCTGGGAGGGAAAAGTGGCTCAAGGGATAGAAGAGGGAACAGAGGTGGGTTTGATTGAAAGACATTGTATACATGCATAAATAATTGAATAATTTAAAAAAAGTATTGTTGAATTCAATAAGCAGTAAATATTATAGTATCAAGTATATTTTAATGAAAATTGACGTATTTTTTAATTGTAAAAGCAAGAGCAGGTCAGTGTAAATGTTTTTGACGTCTGGAGAACTAGAGGATAACTGGGCTGGTCTCTGCTTTATTATCCTATCTTTTTTTTAAAATATTTATTTATTATGTATACAACATTCTTTCTACATATATGCCTGTAGGCCAGAAGAGGGCACTAGACCTCATTACAGATGGTTGTGAGCCACCATGTGGTTGCTGGGAATTGAACTCGGGACCTTTGGAAGAGCAGGCAATGCTCTTAACCGCTGAGCCATCTCTCCAGCCCTTATTATCCTATCTTTGCCAATATCACACATCTGGAAAATCCCATCCTATAGACACAACAGGTTACAGTTTAAAAAGAGAGACAAAAGACATCTTTTGTTAGGAAAAAAGTAGTTTTGATCTCATAGAACCCAAAATAGGTCTTGGGGACTCTGGGGATCCCCAGGCCATCTTTTCATAAGTGCTGATCTCAATTCTGTTTGAAACTGACAGGGGCTCTTATCATTTCGCTTGTCTTGCTTGTGGAATCATTAACACAGGTACTTTTAGGAGGGACTTTTGAGTAGAAACAAGATCGGAAAACTTCATGAATATTATTTTCAAAGCACTTGTCTGCTCTATTGTGTACACCTGGACATAAATAGGCAGTCAAAATGACATGCATCATGCACTAATATTTTTCTTGTCTATCCTCCGATATTTTTTATATTAGCAAGTGCAATAAATAAGAATTTGCTATCTGGCCGGGCGATGGTGGCGCACGCCTTTAATCCCAGCACTCGGGAGGCAGAGGCAGGCGGATCTCTGTGAGTTCGAGACCAGCCTGGTCTACAGAGCTAGTTCCAGGACAGGCTCCAAAGCCACAGAGAAACCTTGTCTCGAAAAAAAAAAAAAAAAAAGAATTTGCTATCTGTTGCTCAAATTCTTGATTTTTCCAGTGCTGTCTGCAGTTTCAACACTCATTATGAACCCAGAAGTGCAAGTTTCACTTCCTATTCACCTTGTCTCTACCTCAATGGCTAAGAGTCCTGTCACTCTTTGCGTTTAGATTTTAAAATAATGAAATGCTCTTCAAATTTTCTAAAATGGATATTAGTGTCACCATATTAAAAATAACTGCGCTAGTGCTGGCACCTGAAACTGATGTGGGAGTGTCATATATCAATCTGTTGATTTCATTGGTTAAGTTATAATAAACCAGCTGCTTGGCCTCATGGCTGGAACATAGATGGGAGGAGTAAACAGAATAGAATTCTGGGCGGAAGAGGAAGTGAGGTCAGACTCTGCTCTGCTCCCAGAGAGACCCGACAGCTCTGCTGGAGCAGAGACGCCATGCTCAGCTCTCCCAGGCAGCTGCGACCCACGATGGACTTAGGCTAGAATCTTTCCGGTAAGCGCACCTTGGG